AATTCCTCAGCCAGCATGCTGGCTGGGGAATTCTGGGAGTTGAAGTCCATACTCTTAAAGCGGCCAAGGTTGAGAAACACTGCTCTAAACTCTTGGAGTCCTTCCAGCAGCTATATTATACATTATAAACTATACTTCTAATTTTTTTTTTAATCCCCAATTCGACTGAAAATCTTGAGACATACCTTTACCAATTTGTCTGAAGGCAGGACTAAAATTAAACTGATTCTCTACGAACACTAAATCCCGTACAGTTTTTCATTGATGTCCCTAATCTAGTTTTTATTTCCTGTTTGGAACCCTTTGTTGGGTTTTGAAAAGCCACAGCGCTGCATACAGCAAAGGTGCACATGTTGAGATCTGGCCTTTGAGAGACTCCCGAGAACACCCGAGAAAACAAACCGATGGATCATTGAACAAATCAACCCAGAGCTTTCACTAGAGGCCCAAATGACCAGGCTCAAATTATCCTATTTCAGACACGTTATGTGAAGGCCTAGATCTCTGGAGAAGGCTCTGATGCTGGAAAAGGTGGAAGGAAAGAGAAGAGGAGGAGGATCAACAGCAAGGTGGAAGGACTCAGTTACAGTGGTGATGGGTGCACCATTGGAAGACCTGAAGGACCAGGTTGGGGACAGATCATCATGGAGAAAACCTATGTGGTCGCTAAGAATCAACAATGACTTGATGGCACATGATCAGTTAATCAACCTTGAGTGACATGCCACGTGCCACTGCCTCAAAAGTAGTCAGGGCCAAAAATCTTTCTCAAGAATTTTGAGTGAATTCATTGAATGCATGCCCTTTTTCTTCAAAGCACAAGCCTGCACTGCATCTCCTTATTGCATTCATTGAGAATTACTCCTACATCATCTATAAGGTTATGCATGAACTTCTCATCTGTGTTCATTTAGTCATTTCTTTTCTGTGACATCTTGGGGACAACTAGATTTGAAATAACAGGCAAACTCAAAGTTAGCCTTCTTGATAAAGTAACGGCCAGCTAGACTGTAACTAGAGGGTTTCCTGGTGGTCTCCTACCCACGTAAACCAGTTCCAAACCTTTTTAGCCTTTTCAAGAACAGCCAAGGACGGCTACGTGCTGCCATCTGTTGGAACCAACTACAAGCAGCCAAGGAGCAAAAGAGGCTGTTCTTTGTGCCATCATCCTGATTATTTAATTCCCTCCTTCTCTTACAGTGAACATGTCTTCTTAGCATGATGTCAGCTTCAGCTATTCCTATTCCCCTAGCTTTCAGCTGAACCTGCACTGCTATGTCGTTAAGTCCCCATGTACACAACCAACTTAACTCAGCCAGCCACTAACTCAAGCCCTAGCTCCTTATCTGCAGTTTTGACAATGCACAATCACAGCCACCAGGTCAAAACCTGCCATTTTGCACAATGCAGAGCCTGCTCCAGGTGGCTGTGTAACCTGTGAGCTGTTCTGCTGAGTGCACAGGTAAGCTTCCATTATGTTAATAACCCTTTCTCCATTGGCTGAGGCATGCAGCAGGAGGTGTGGCTGGAGCACTGCACCCAATCAGAATTTGGAAGGTGGATTCCTAGAGGCTTGGGTTTTATTTGAATCACTCTACATCTCCAACTCTTGTTCATGAAGGACCAACTAGGCAGAGTTTGGAACATCCCAACCGTGGACTGTGTTTATGCTGTTGCATGATCCGGCAGACGAAGGGAAGATAGTTTAGCTCAAAGTTAAACTGAGATTGTTTTGAGTTAAAAACGAACCCTCCCTAACTCTACTGCTGGCTCAATTCTGGAATTTGCATGAAACTCATGTCCCTGACCCATTTAAGTATCCTGAAGGAAGGTCCTCCTGTTATTGTTGCTTTTGATTATGTGCCATCAAGTTGGAGTCAACCTTTAGTGACAAAAAATATTCTCCATGACAATCCCTAACCTGTTCCTTCAAGTCTTCCAATGGTGCACCCATTGCCCCTGCAACTGAGCCCACCCACCTTGCTACTGGTCATCCTCTATTTCTCTATCCTTCCACCTTCCCAGCATCAGAGCCTTCTCCAGAGAGCTGGGTCTTTGCATAATGTGTCCGAAGTAGGATAACTTGAACCTGGTCATTTGTGCCTCCAGGGAGAACTTTGGATTCATTTATTTGATGATCCATCAGTTTGTTTTCTTGGTTGTCCACAGTATTCTTAGACGTCTTCTCCAATACCAAAGTTCAAAAGCATCAATGCTCTTCCTATCTTGTTTGTTTCAAAGTCCAACTTTCACTTTTGTTATTATTATAGCCCTGTTTTTATGCTTTTAATTTATGGTAATGTTGTTGAGTCCTATTAGTTTGTTTTATTGCACTCCACCATGGAATAACCCTGGATAAAAAGTGGGTTAAATGTGGTTATCAAGGACTAGATAAATGAATTCAGAAGCACAGTGAGTCAGTTCCTGCAAGGACAGATAATTTTCACTTTTGCATTCTCTTGACCCAAGTAAAACTTAAGTGAATGGCTTTTAAGATGAACTGCAGATGGAGTGAGAGCGGACATCTAGCACAGTGGAACGGGGAGGAGTGAATCCAGATGGGAACCCTGACCCACAACCTCACAGCTTCCTACTATCATGCTAGGCTCCCTTCCCATCCCTCCCCCCCCCCCCCCATTTATTTAATGTAAAGGGAAGCAAGGCTCTGATCCCAAAAGTTCAGGGAAATGTTAACTTCAGTTTTTTTCAAACTTACCAAATCAGGATGTCATTTGCAATGTTAATTAGGGAAATCCCAAAGCTGTAGGCTAAACGGGAAGGTTGAAAAAAACCCAGACATAATTCTTGAACAAGGCAACGGGAAACTATGTTAGCCTTGTGGCCAAGAAAGCTACACAGCCTTGTTCGTGAAGTCACTAAGAATCAAACTCAACTTGATGGAGATTTTATCTTTTTATCTTGATAAAAGTGAGTCTAAAGCACAGACACATTTGAGTTTTACAATTTCAAAGCTGCTTAACAATTTTGTAGCTGCTTTAATCTTCACTCTATTTTGTCACAACTGAATTCAGCATCTTGCTCTTCCTGGTTCTGAGCTCTGAGCTGTGCTCAAATTAGCTTAGCTGACAGATGAATACCTAGCAAAGTCTGAATTCATTCATTCCAGCTATAACTGGGCTTCAGCCAGGCGAGTTTTATAAGGCTAACGGTACCCTGCAGTTTTTAAAAAGGTGATTTTAAAAAATAGAAATATATATATATATATGAATAAATACTTCTGAATGCATGGCAGCCTTCAAACCTGAGTGACGTTTACCATCTCTTTACTGGAAAGGGGAGAGGGAGAAAGGAAAAATAGAGAGAGAGACAGGAAAAAAAAGGAAGTCTTATTTTCTCTCTCCAAACGTTGCACAGAGTCATCTATGCATGCCGCGAATTCACAGCAGAAAGAAAGAAAACAGAAGTTGGGACAAAATGCTATAAAACGCACGAGTGAGGAAATCGTGGGAACGGAATGACATCCTTGATATTCTCAACGCCCAAGATGCACCGCAGGTAACGCTCGAACCCCATTCCAAACCCTCCATGGGGGGTTGATCCAAACTGACGCAGCTCTACGTACCTGCAGAGAAAGGAAACAGGATAGTTTATCCTGGTACAGTACCTGTTTTCCCCTGAGTTTAATCGCTTGTTATCTGCAATCACAGCTTCCTGTTTACTACAGGGCTGCAGCACCCGACATTCTTTAAAAACCTTTTTTCTAAAAAAAAAAAATGATAACATATAGAATCAACAAAACTTTAAATTTCAACACTTTAAACTTCAGAAAATTGGAAAAATCGGAGAAAACCTCACACAAACTAAAAATACAAACCAAGGAAGAGAAAAAGGAAAAAACAAATCTACAATATCTTATATTTTATACTTATCAATAGCCACTGGGTTACTAATGTGATCAGTACAAAATATTGTCATATTTCACAACATCTGTGCCTCAGTAACCCATATTGCTGCATCCTTTGATTTGTAGGAAATATTACCTTTTCCAGAAAAGATAGATCACACATTTCCAACAACTGTTCCGTGACATCTGGAATGCCTCATTTCCAATTTCTCAGTATGATTCTTCGAGCCACCCCCATGCTCGATACAACCATGGTTCCTGATAAACCTTCAGATTCCCAATGCAGAGCTGAGATTCTTGAAACATACTGATCTTGTTTTCTGCCAATTCTGAAACTACTTCTGACTCCCCCACATCTCTATCCAGAAAGCAGGTGCTAAAACCCAGATTCACACATAGAAAACCACCTCCGCAGGAGGGTCCGCAGGATGTGGTCAAAAAAGTCAAGATGGCGGCTGCAATGGAAACTCTTGTTTTTTACGTGCATTGCGTGGCCATTATCTTGACCTTTTTGGCCATACCCTGTAGGCACCCCTAACCCAGCCCCTACTGGGTTGGCACCAATGGCTTTGCACCCCCGGCTTACCAACATTTTGTCAAAGCAGAACAAAACTTTTCAGTAGCTTTATATTAAGGAAATAGGTTTTCCAATTATTTAAGTGGGAAAAAAATCCTATTTGGTTGTACCGCGTACCAGAGGATGCTTCCATTATCCATCAATATTTTTATTATTACAGAACATAAAAAAGATATAGATTTATGAATTATTGAAAATCACACCCAATTTTACAGGGGTCTCTGTGGCTATGTTTTTCTCTAACCCTGCAACTGTTTTTCTGGAGTCTCGCTCCTTTGAGATATTCTCTGCGCCTCCAAAATTTAAGAATCACTGGCAGAGGTACATCTCAGAGGAATTCTATGTGGTTTTGCCTTTGCAGATTTTGTAAATTTGGAAAGCAGGGAGGAAATGATGTCATGGAGCAGAGCTGGGGGGGGGGAGAGATAAGTAAAGGATAGAGAAAAAAAGGGGAACTGTGACAATGTAAAAATATCTTTATTTGGTCTTTCAAAGGCTTCATTATGCCCTCAGACTTGTTTTTAAGCCTCCAGTGGAAACTTTGATCGTATTTTCAAGTTTGCCTTCAAGAGCACTTGAAACCTTTAGCTCCCAAAGGTTACCAAGTAATCCCAGGTTACAAATTCATGATTTTTTTAAAAAATCAAACTCTAATTTCAATTTTTTATGAGTGAGATATCAGATAACCAATCGCTTTAGGCTGAAAATGTAAAAATGGGGTTGATTTTTTTTTTAAGGTATCAATGGATACAGCATTAAGAATAGTCCTAGTTGCTAATTTAATCATTTACTGAACATTTACTGGAATTCATTTCCAATTGGTCAGAGCAACTTTCTGACAACTAGCCACTAGTTATTTCTCTATCCTTGCTTCTTGGAGTATCTTCCACTGGATTCACATGCCTTTGTAACCATGATAGCAAGTTGTGCAGAGACCATGATGAGTCCCTAAAGCAGCAGCCCCAATGCTAACCAAAGCTCCCTCCCACCCAATAAAAAATAAACTATCTCACCATATCTGGAATCATAAAATCAAAGAATTGTAGGATTGAAAGGGATCTTAAAGGTCTTCTAGTCCAATCCGGAGAGCAGACGTCTTTCTAATATCCCAGAAAAATGGTTGTCCAAACATGGTTCCGTCACCATCCAGCGATGGTGATGGAACACCCACGACTCCAGGAGAAAGGCTGTCCCACTGCTTCATAGCTCTCACGGTCAAGAAATTTCACATTTTGAGTTTGGATCGCTCTTGGTAAAGCTTTCCATTCTATCCTTGGGAGTGATGGAAAATAAACCCACATCCTGTTTTCTGTGACAGCCCTTCATGCATTGGAAGACTACTGTCACGTCTCCTCTCAGCCTTCTCTTCTTTAGGCTAAACATACCTAGTTGTTTTAACCGTTCTTCATAGGATTAGCCCCCAAGCCCCTCACCCACTGGAATCATTCAGTCAACTTAGTGTGTAATATGCAAAAGGTAAGTGCAGTTCCTATTATTATTTCTTTATGGACGTCATAGACCAAAAAACTCCCCCATAGTTAAATTACAAAGCATCCTATAGAAAAACCTGTTCATAAGAGAAACTCCTCATAACTAGATTTTGTTCAGATCCAGTGACTTCTAGGTGCAATTGCTATACTGTAGTAAAAAAAAAAAATGAACCATTTTCTGGAAACGTGATTGCTTAGTAGGAAATGCAGAGTTGCTTGTTGGGATTAACCCAAGTGGTTTATGGTTAGAGGGGAGATTATCTTTGATCTCCAAGGATGAAATGTGGGGCAATTCAGGTCTATACATGCAACTGATTCAATTTCAAAATCTAAGCATAAATGTAAATGATTTTGGTAGGAAATATTATTAAAACTCCCCAAGAAAATGATGGACAGAGTTTAAAAGCTCACCTTTGATGACCTGAAAACTATGCAATTTCTTCAATATGTTAAATTCTCAATTCAACCAGAGGCTGGTGTTTATTTTAATTATGACACTGCTCTGATAGTTTGGTAAGATAAACTTTTCTAAGAGGCCTGTAAGAAATACAATGTTGGTCACTTGGTTAATTAAAAAAAAAAGGACTTCATTGCGTCCCAATTGATGCACACGTGGTCTGCTCATCACATTTACTATAAAGGATCATCACTAATGTAAATGTTGGCTTCTGGCTGAACTGAGAATTTATTTGCTTTGCCTCAGAGGATTTCAAAAGGCCAATGCAGTAGATGGATAGTATCTTGGAAATACATCTTACCACTGATAGGTGTCTTCAAGCATCAACCTGTAGAACCAACAAAAGAATTATTCTCAGCACAACAGCAAGAGGAATGAATTCTAGAAAGTTTGCAAGAATATCAGATTTGTACACTGTCTAGAGCTGCCAGAGAAGGTGGCATATAAATGCTATTATAATTAAATTAATATCAGTTTTGTACTTTTGTAGCACCTTAAACATGTCCAACTGAGCTCTAAGCTCTAGCCAGGATAAAATATGGGCTACGATAGCCCTGTTTTGAGATGCTACGGGCCTTTCTTTTATTTTAAACAAAGACGCCGAAAGTATCAAAAAGCACCTTTTTGTGTTCAGACATTAAGCAAGTTTAAAAAAGCAAACTTATGGACAAATATGATCATTCTCATGCCAGTGAACTATGAATTTTTCTCCCAACAGATTTTATAACACGTTTTTAGAGGAATGCATGGAAGAACATAACCTCTAGTGCTGTTAATGAAGTGGATGCAAAGCTGTGTCCCCTAGCCTACGACCTTGGAATGGTGGAAGGAATGGATGGGCATGAATCATAGAATCAAGCATGGGACCATGAAACTGGAAGGGTCTTCAAAGACCATCAAGTCCAACCCTCTGCAATGTGCAGGAAACCCAGTGAAGCCGTCCCCTGCCTCCACCGCCTTATCTGAACACTTATTGATTTATTAGACTTACAAGCTGCCGAATCAATCAGGCTCAGGGTGGCTTACAAGAGCCAAAATTACAACCACCGCAATGAAATTAAAGCATCCATAGTAATAACTAATCCAAAAACAAAAACAACCCGCCATAAAGACACAACGGAAACATCCATGCTAATGGCTAATTCAAAACTGAAAATATCCACAGGTACAGTGAAGCAGTGAGAATGTTCACATTGCCAGCATAACTAAAACGGGGCATTAACGATAAAAACTCACAACAGCACAAAACAATATAACATCCACGATACAATAAATAACTTCCATT